TAACTTCCAGCCTTCCATTAAATAAATTGCCCTTTGCACTTCATCTTATTTTCTGATGGAGTTGGTATATGCGCTTTTTTGCACTTTTCTATTCAAAAACTATCAAGAATGTGGACATTTTCAATTAGCGTCTATAAAATTAGCATTTTAGTGCATTTTGACCCAATATTTACAACAATTATGACACTTCTAGATGTTGGTCACTTGGGTTGGCTCTAATTTCTGAATGCAGAACTCGTAGACCTACGAGCCCTACTCTTCCCGTAGTAACTCTTTGTATCAGATATAATTTTGAACAGATTCGCGATAATACCGTAATAGGATTGAAAATCGTTTTCTCGGTATTCTAAATGTTATCTTCCTGACAAAACTTTTGGGCTCCATCGCTTTAGAGGGCTAACTAAATTAGCGTTTTATTGGTTTATGCGTTGAATTCCCTCTATAAAATCCTGGCCGATACGTCATTGCCAACTGTTGAAAATCTCTTGCTTGCATTGATAATCACGTTTAGGAAAAGCTTGTTGTTAAATTTTCACAATCTTTACAATTTTCACATCATCCTTTCTTTCCTGCTTTATATTAATTGGTTTTGTCTGAATGGAGGTAAATCGCAGGCGCACAATGACAAAGAATTCTTTTTTGTAGACTCTCGAAAGAAAAGCTTAAGCGTGGAAAGGACGGCGCCGATAGAAACTGGGCGAGAAACTCTAATAGAGATTGATAAGGTAGTTTTTTGATGTATGAATTCGTTAAGTTTGTGAAGCATTTCTGTGATAAGTCGTTTAGGATGGCAAAGGACTAGGATTGTCGATAGTTGGTGGTTCGGATACGGTGCTAGGAACGGTAGTCATACATGAGGTCTATCCGGATGGAGCGGCTGCCCACGACGGACGCTTGAAACCTGGCGATCAGGTGTTGGAGGTAACTCAGCCAAGTTCTTAAGACATTTTCTTCGTGCAGTACTGTACACCTCTCTGTCATTCTCAATAAGCATAAAATGCTACTTATTCAACAAACTTAGATTAGCATTTAAGGAATTCGCTCACTGGCTCATTTTGTTCCCGACTTCTTGATATGACAAGAATTGTACAAAGAAAATTTGAGTGTAATGTTTGTTGTAACAAATGACAGTTCCTTTTTCGTTGTTTAGTGTCCCAAGGGGATCATAAAGAGATCTGTGTTGAAACTCTAGCATAACTGGATATAAACTACAAAGTGCAGGCTCAGAATGATCTACCATGGTTGCACTGAGACTCGGAATAATCGTTAAAAAAATCAAAAAGCGCTTTAAAATTTTCCTGCAAATTGTTTGGACTTGGTGCGGTAAAATGGATGATTGAAATTGTCGTTTAAAATTGGCATCTCTTCGTATGCTATTCGACAACGTCAGTCAAGCAATTAACCTTGCGAACATTTCTTCCATTAGTAAATCAATTGATTAATTACGTAGACTTCAACTTCTATCATGCGGAAAAGTATTTTAACTAGAAGGGCTTTTTCGCTTGTCTAGAATTTGTATAGAAACCAAGCAAATTTAGGTAAACAACGTCTCCCTTCGAGGTGTGACCCATGATCAAGCAATTTCCGCTCTGCGACGGACTCCACCAAAGGTAGAAAATAGAAGTGCTTACTCTGAGTTGCCAGCAATATCGATGAAATTCTTTTAGGTTCGCCTGCTTATCTACCGCGATGTGAATTTGCAACTGAGCTTGTTAGATCCTACACAAATATACAATATGTTCGAAGTGGAGTTGGTTAAGAAACCTGGCAGAGGTCTTGGACTTAGCATAGGTAAGGTGGCAGCTTTGATGCCATAGAAGTCCATTCCACACACAATAGAGTCCGCAAAAGGGAATGGCTAAAGAGCACTGGGCTGAGGATACGGTAGACATTTGTTTCAAATCTATCTATCGAGGCTCTTCAACGCGCATTCATAAGTTGCAAAATTAAAACGTAAGGAAATCTAGCACATGTTGTTTGAATTCTCGAGTTTTTCTAGAATAAAGTGCAGCTTTGCTGAATTGGATTGTTGGATAATTTAGTTAATTATCTAGAATTTTTCAAACTTAAGAAGCGTTAGACTAAGCATGTATGATTTTGAAATTACTAGCTTAGAAGTGGTTGAAAGTGTGCCCAACCGACACTTCAAATTTTTTTTTAAAATGCGAGAAGCCCTTGAATTGCTATAACGCTCATTAGTGGGATAATTGGATGCCTTCTTACGAAAATCATATCCATCCCTCACGATAACGGGTGTCAAATCTCTGATGCTATAGTCTAAAGGGATTAACTATTATGCCAGTCACAAAAATCATTTTCATCACCCTCTGACAAAACCATTTCGAATGCAAATGCAGAACTTGAATTCCATTATTAAGCAAGTCGGTGATTTTCCCTCTCTGTCGTATACCTACCGTAACCTAGAGGGTCTTTCCTGCTATGGTTATAATCGTGATTAGCATGTCAGTTGCCTTATTCAGATCAGTAGTTTTGGCCCTGCAACTAGGCCAACAGTGAGGTCTTAAAACAGTAGATCTGATTTTCATTATCAGCCGCCAAAATCGCAATTTCAGACCTTCTCGCATCCCAAAACAACTAACTGATGATTATGCCTTTTGATCTCAAAATTTTTTACTTTAATTATTTTTTACTTTAGCTTAATTACGATCAATTGATAAGACAAGTACGCTTTTTTTGTTGAGAGAGACTTCCTCTTTCACGTAATAATGTGTAGCCAAAGTTTCCGGTTTAAAAAAATTTTAAGTTTGAAAAAATGACACAAACTGTCTGGCAATTTTATATGTGCTATATTGAACATGACCTATGAGACTTCTGTTCTCTTTTTCAACATTTAAGGGGGGATGCTTTGTTACGTGATTAGAATTGTCGGAAGAGTGTATCAATATGTAATCAAACATTTCGTCAATATGAGTTTAAAACTGCGAGCCCACCCACATATTTGATAGTTTTGAGTGCCAGCGTCTCGCAGGCATAGTTCCAGACAGGCTTCGGCACGAGGTCTCCGATTGAACCTTACAGAACGAATACCCGCTCGAAATCCCATGAAATTATAAATCCCCCTTTGTGACCTGTACAAACGTGCAACAAGCACTGCAGTGTTACTTGGAGCGCGTTTTCTTCATTGAGGTAGAACAATATAGGACCCTAGCAAGGGAGGAAAGTACTGTGATTTGGTTAATGCGCTGTAAGTTGCACAAAGGGTGCACAAAAAGTGTTTGCTATAAGGAATGCAAAATTATGAGGAACAAAAAAGTGTTTGCTAATCGGA